TAGACTTTTGATACGGCGTGCAAATGGCACCGGGGCCGATAAATCGTCGCCCTCCCGATATTCCGTGGCTCTGTCTCTGGATTAACGCATTTTAAATACTTTCCGTTTCCAGTGGAGGGTCACGCGGTCTGGCGCACCGTAAATAATACAAAATGGCCGGCCTCGGCGGCTCGTTGATCTTATTTACCCTCCGTTCGACGAACTCTGATTTAACCCATCGCGTACTCGGCCACGTTTGACGAATTATGGTCGCGCTTGCCTTTTGTCGTTTAAATTGAAATAGACGTTGCTGGATGTTAAATGAAATGCTACGACGAACAGTTAAATTTAAATTGGATGTTGCTTCAGAGGGGAATTAGAATTTAATTGATTTAGAATTTAAATTAGAATTTTGTTCCGAAAACGGGTGATAGGAATGTTTTGAAACCGCAAAGAAATGAAGGAGAAAGGATAGAATGGATGTTGAAGAAAAATAAAAGAATTGTGAATGTTTGAGCTTCGTTAATAATATCAATGACTTTGAGTGTGTTAGGCCACGAGTACGAAAAAGAGAATTTTTTTTCATTCGTTTGGAAAGAAACTATGCAAAGTGAATTTTCTGAAATTTATCTTGAGATAAATAGATCAGTTGATTCTATGATTGATAAAAGTTCTACGATTAATTCCATAGTTTTATAATATAAAAGTTCTTATATCTGTAAATTAAAATTCGTGTCTTGTCACTGCAAAATTGAAAAATTTTCAATGGAAGAATAATATTCCAACGAGTCAATTCGAGTTGTTCTCCGGTTGCTTCTAAATCCACAAACTGGGGAAAAAAATTGCGCGAGCTAGAGGTAGCGAACGTGGTCTGTCGCACGCGCGCGCGCATCTACCCGATAAGCTGTAACTGCTACTCAAACTGGCCGATCGATCAAACGTCGTTAAGCTTCGTCGAACAGCGGCGACCCGGCGACAATGAGATTCGCGAGGTCGATCAAAATCGCGGAAACTATTTCGAGTGCATCGCCTGGAACGTGCGACATGTAGTCACGGTAATTGAGTTACGCCCAGATAGAAATGTAATTTCACCTGCGATGCAGCCGCCGGGAGAACATTGAACGATGAGCGCAACGCCTAATTCGGCACGGCGACATCTTAGAACGCCACCTGCGATTTTAATGATAACGGATGGATGAATTATGATACGTTGTATTATCGGTTTCCGGGAAGATCATTTTAATGAAATGGCGCGAAATAATTATCGAGCATTCGAAAGACAATTATCAATGTGCCTTCAAGATTTCTTGCATTTCTGATTTTAGATAACAGAGGAAACAAAACCTACTATAAATCTTATAATTTTTATTAAAAGAGTGTTATACATTTTTGCTAAATATTTAGATTTTAAATATTTGATATAAAGTCTAACATTCTGGTATATACAGGAGTGTAGAGAGTATAAAGAAACATAAACACTGCACGTTACTACGCTGTAAAATATGAAATCTAAAGGATATACTGAACACTAGAAATGCTAGTGGTCAAAAAGCAATTTATCATTTTTTAGGAAACTATCGACGGTGTTCCTTGGCTGCTTTGATATTACTGTCTCTTTCCTGGAATTATAATGTATTCATATCGTTATTCGTTTGTTAATAAGAACATTTACAGACAATTTTTCATAAATCCAGAAAATCTGTACCGATAATAATCGAAACAGTACCCACCGTCTGCAGATTTTTCCTAGTTTTCAAGTAGAAATTGAATTGTACGGCTTTTAAGTGACTCTTCTTTCAAGGGGATAAAGTCGTTGATCCATTTTCAAATATTACCAGCGTTCTTCAGCTTTGTCCTAACGCTCTACCGGTTTTATCGGTTAAAATTGGTAAAAGTACAATGTGGAAAAAGTAGAGTGGTCATAGTAGTTACTTTCTAATCAAATTTCAACAATATTCAGTTCTAAAATTTCAAAATGGCTTGATGATGAAAGAGCTCTTTCGTAAATGTTTGAAAATAATGACAAATTAGATCTTGCATTAGCTCAAGGGAATGCTTGAACATTAGATTAGAAGATAATGGAAAAATCGAAATTATTAAAATTTCAAAACAGCTTGGACGATGGAAGGAATCTTCGTCTCGGTAGAAAGTTTGAAAATAGCAAATAACAAGTTAAATCAGAAAGCTCTTGAATTGGATATTAGGTTATAGAAGGTAGATAGAAATGTTAAACTTTAGTATCGGTCGTCGGACGTGTGTCCTTTTGCGTAATAAAAATTTGAAAATTGTTTAAAATCTCGTTGGTCTGCGCAAATTCGGCTCTTTCCGAGAAAACTGCTCGTCAACTGTGACCCGCAATTTCCATGTTCTACGTGTATTTGGAAAAATTTAACATAAAAAAACAGAGCAACGCGCGAGACAGAGCTAAAAGGGGACGTGTATGTTGTTTCAAACTTTCGTTCATCGAACTCTGTCTTTGTTCGATTCTTGTCCCTTTGGTACCTCTGCGGCATTTACATTTCACAGCTGTCGCGCAGTTTCGTTCTTCACGGCGAAGAGCTGATACCGAACTCGTTAAAACTTCCCCAGCGACGGATTTAAATTAGCGGCGAGTAATCAGGAAAATATCTCGAACGTATTTCGCAAAGACCGATTTAAAGAATGAATAATTTAAAGAACGAAGCCAAATCTGCAACGAACTTTTGATCTCGCGGCCAGTGTCATAAATTTATAATTATTACCCTAGTGAAGTGTTATAAACTTCCGAGCCCGCGTTACACAGAATTTCGTTTGTTTGCAGCAAAAGGAAATGAAAGTTAAGTCAATTAATTGCAGTTTCTTCATTTCAACTAAAAATCTGCGAACTAATAATAATTGGACCATAAATAAGTCACTTGGCATTTTTTTGTAATTTAATTTACTAACCCAATAGTAAAGTGGCGACAATACGAAAGGGCGACGAAGTATATCTTTTATGTGTTTGTTAAGTAAATTTTTAGTTTTGAAAGTACATTCGATACATTTGCGTATAAGAAATAAGTAAACAGAATTTAATTAATAAGCATTAATTAAAATCATACTTCTCTGCCCTTTTTTGTATTCTTGGATTGATATATTATTTCCTACACTGAAGATAATTTATCGTACAAATGTGCGTACATAATAAATAAATATTCAAGTAACTGCCAAAATAAAATTTTTCTGCGTGCGTTTTCATCACAAATGAATTTATTTTAATCAATTGATGCACGATTTTAAAGTAAAAATAAATAGTTTTAACGTATCTGATTATAACATCGATCACCGAACTTTTTATTTATAATATAACCGAGTCTGAACAGTGTTTAGTAGTTTTATGGCGCAATTTATAGTGAGATATTTAGAAAATATAGTAAAGGGCAATAATATTTGTGAAAACAGATGAATGATTCGTGATAGAGAGAAAAAGAGAGAGAAAGAAGCCATATTGGTGCACACGTTAAAATAGTTAAAACAAATATTTACCGAATATATTGAGAATCGTATTATGAAACATACATGCAATTTAGAAATTCCATTAGTTGTAATAGATACTAAATGTTGAGAACAAAAAGTATCCTAAGATTTTCGAACGAGGATATGTGCCCACTCTATATTTTCTGATAGTATGTAGAGAGAATATGTAGATTATCACATCATCAATATCCTTAGGCATGGATTATCTTCTCATGTGTATCGTGTCGAATGCTATTACCGAGAAACGCAATTTCTCCGAAATACAGAAACGAAAATGTAAATATTTTTCATAGCCTCGAGGCAGACAGGATCGAATATTTACGCTCCTCAGTCGTACGGGTGCGATCGAGAATGTAACATTCGGGCGAAATACGGTCGGTTAAGTGGGTATTAACATTTGTAAAAATGAGTCGCGGGAAGAAATCAAATTCAGCTGAAATACACGCGATATTAAAATTAAACGAAGAACATTGTCCTGTGACAAGAATAGACAAAATAGCGAACAGAAGTGGTGAAATGATAATGAATTTATTAAAAGATCCCGATAGTTATGGAAAAAGAAAAAGTTACGAATGACCACAGTGTCTAGCAGCTCGGGATAAACGTGCTATAGTACGTTTAGCGTTAAATTCAAGCTCGACTGCGAGACAAATTGCAGAAAAAGCTGGATTTACGATAAATGTCAGGAATGTCCGATGTCTTTTCAAGAATTGTGAACATCTGAAATGATGAAAACTGCAACAAAAACCTCGGTAAACTGTGTAATTTGCAATTTGCAAAGAAATATGTTTACACGAATAAAAAACGGCGAAGAGTCATATTTTACCGATGAAGAGAGGTTCAGTTTGGATGAATCTGATGACCACCACTGCTATGATCATGATTTACGAGAGGAGCAACAATTTCTAACTCGTCGACACATGCGAGGCGGCGATATAATAATTTGTGGGTGTGTTGATAAGATGGAAACTGTGAGTTACTAAGGTAAGAACAAAATTAATCACCGGAAACTTAAATAGTAAAAAGTGTTTTGAAATGGTTGACGAATAAAAATTAACACATACGGAACACGAATTACTCGAAATAGGTTATATACATTTTTGAACGTGATAACGCGGCCGTGCATACCGCAGAAACAATAAAACAGTACTTTGCGTACAAAAAAAAATTCGTCTTTTAGACCAACCAAGACTTAAATATCACGGAAAATATTATTATCGTATTATAATAACATTATTATTAATAATTACGGAAAAGTGCATATGAGAAAGATTTTGTATCATTTGTTTGATGAAAAGAAGCTTGATAATTTTTACATTATCATTTATATTTGTTTGTTTTTCATACTCACATATTCAACATCATCTTCTGTATATTACAGCGAAGAATTTATTTTTATTTAAATTTATGTAACTTTATCTTTCGGAGGAAAAATTCGTAAATCATCTAAGTTTAAATCAATAAAAAATATAATCAACGCTTAAAATTTAGAGCTTGATTTAAACCGATCAATGAATATAATGGAGTGTTCTTTTATCTGTGTTGCAGAATTTGAAGAACCAGATCATGACGACGAATCTGTGGGTCGAACAGGTGAGCGATATTAATTTATCAGTGAATTTATAATGTTTAAAGTAGATTAAACGCTGTTAGCTTAATCCGTCCTCAGAAAGATTACGTGTCACTATCACATCTCTCTACGTAACAACTTAATTACTAAAATTAATTATTGCAATATGTTCCTGATTCGTTGTCGCAGTTTTAACAACTTAAATATAAACATTATATATTTTAGTATATAATTTAAAATATATAGAATGTAGAAATATATATTTTAAAATATATAAAATATAAAATTCAAGTATGGATATAATATACGAAAATACGATATTTTCATTGATAATAATTGCGACAAAATTCAAAAAATATGATTTTCGAATTACCACTTACATAAAAATATTTCTGCAGAGTGCTTGATCAATTATAAAAATCTTATTCATTCGTCTTCATAATTCGAACCGGTTATAGGAACGAATTATGTTGCTTTTTTGATTTATGCGAATACTATTTAAGTATTTATTTTACTAGAGTAAATTATCTCTCGATCTTTAATAAATTAAACTAACGTAGAATATTTTTAATCCTATTCTTTATCTCAACATATTATAACCTTGCAATAAAAATATCACAATACAAATGAAATGTGGTTTTCCAGTTAGTATTATAAAAATCTCGAATTTTTATTGTCATTGTAATAACTCATTATTGGAAATTATTACTGCGGACGTTTCTTTTGTACGTGGAAACAAATTTTGTTCAGCTATCATTTGCATCATTTGCAAAAATATTACAAGAAAATTATAAATTTTTTACCCACTGTATATTAATTCATCTAACATCGTGCTTTATTATATATATTATTACATATATATTAATACATATATATTATATATGTATTATACATGCGTATAATACGTATTATATATGTATTATTACGAATTTTGTCTCGATTATTATCCCGAACAAATGTACATTGACAAGACGAGAAGTGTATTGCTGAATCTTTAATTAACAAAATAATATCCAAAAATCTCAATGAAAAATATACAATAGTGACATTTTTGTCGTAAGAGTGCGACACGTTTTCGGGCGTTTAAGTTTCGATCTCGACAATTTTTGAAAGCGACTGACTCGGCGTTTAAAACCGCTGTTTGGCGACCGAACGCGTTTACAATCGGTGGCTCGCGGGAGAAATTTGAGAATTCTGAGAGCAGAGGAGCCAGCCGAGCCGGGGTCAAGGGCCCGGATGTAACTCGCGTGCACGGGAAGTAACAGACGCTTAGCTATTCCGAGTCATTCCCAGCACGGTAACTGCAAATTGCTTCGCCAAGTAATATGTACTCGTGTAACTACACAGGAGCGTTGCGCGTCCCGGCACTTTTGCTCGAAAGAATCGAGCCAGAGAAGGACGAGACGCGAGACAAGCCAGCAGGCAGCTACAGCAGCAAATGTAATTGAAGAATAATTAAGCGAGACCAATTAACGTCCTTATGCGCCCGTTCCGCGAGCAACTTGAAAAACGTCTTCAAAGATAAATCCCGCTAAATTCGTCAGACGTATACGTGCAATTTACCGACATTCTTGGTTTTTTTTTTCTTCTTCTTTTCTTTTTCTTTTTTTTTTCTTAACGAGCGAATTTACTTTCTTGGTCAAGAATTCGCGCGTCCTTTAATGGAACGGCCCTCGTGAGTAATTACCGAGGTAAATAGTTTAGTGATTCGGTTCTTGGTTGTCTTTGATAATACACGGGGTGTCTCGGAACTGAAGCCACGACCGAGAAACGACGCACATGGAAAGTAAGGAGCAACATTTTTTTCACTCGTGTCGTCGTTTTCGAGAAAGTCAGGTTTGAAAATTTGTCAGATGTGTGGCACTTGAATTTCGCTAATTCTGCACTGCACAGGAATGACTAATCGATAGAAGGATTATTCCATCTGTGAAAGTATACGAAAGACGTAAAATCAAATTTTTCCGCTAAAGCCTTCATTTCCAAGGGAACGATTTAATAAAAAATTGGTTCAGCAAAGTTTTAAATTGAGTTTTCTGAAAAACGAATTCTACTCTACACTTTTGACTTGTTCTCTCAAGTACTGGGTGGGCCGAAAAGTTCTTCCCACTTATTATTATTTTTTATTTTATTTTAATGAAACATTAAAATATAAGAAAAAACTAATTTTATTAATTTCTTAATTAAACTTAAGTTCGAACGTGATTTTTTTCATTATGTTTTAAAAATTATTTGAAATAAATGTGTAATAAAGAAAATTACGGATTTATTTTAGTAAGAAATGATTTCTGGTCCACCCTATATCAAAATTATTAAGCATTCCTTAAAATTACAGGTTTAAAATTTATTACGACGAAAAATGTGCTGTAATGATTCTTTATCGCACTTGCAATGAATATTACGTTATTTATTTTCTTCCAACTACTTGGAAAGTATTTCTTGTAACACGAGGCAAGGATTCGTAGCAATTTGGCAGATGGAGATACTTTCCGATAGCTTGGAAAATTCCAAATGGAAAACTCTAATTGTCATAACTTTTCCGGAATAACTGGCAGTCCGTGTCGATTAGTACAATTAGAAACGTGGAGTTCTGTTTCGCAGGAAAGAATATTGGTTGCGCGTTGAAATGAATTACAAATGAAACCATCGAGCCATCCCGTTTCGTTTCTATTCCGGTATTTCTTCGTTTCTAATCATTTTAAAGATGCAGTTCGGAACACCCGGTGCACGAGGTAACTTTTTAATCAAACAAAATTGAAGTTTCCGAGGCGAGGAATTAGTGTCAAAGATGCTGAGATAGAGAGGATGCATAAGATATCTTCGACTGTCGATCGGCCAATTTTAATATTAAACTCCAACGGTCTCACTTAATTAGGTCAATCGGAGAAAGTAAAGGGGAGAGCTTTAGTTGATAATTCGAGATCATCAGATGATTGGTATCAACATGCACGTAGCTTTGTTTGCACAAAGTTGTTTTGCACTTTACTTTTCACTTTTTTAACTTGTTAAAGATGTTCGAAAGATACTTCGTTCGCCAACGTATTTCTCTGTCTTTGAATTTTTTACAAATACACAAAAATACACGGTCTAAATGAAACATGCATTCCCCTCTGTGTAATTGTACGTACATGTACCTTTTTCTCCCTGCTCGTTTAAAGTTTGATACTTTCTCGTTCTGTTCACGTTCGTTTCCTTACATTTCCTTTCCTCTCTCTCTCTCTCTCTCTGTCTCTCTTTCTATGCCATATCTGCAGGCGGTACAAATTTAATCGTTTCCGCGTTCCCGTTTGTACTAGGCAAATTGTTCCGACACGTTTCACAACGTGTCCCACTCTCTTGGTAATTTTTCACGATGACAGCACTCGGTTGACGATTCATAATCATCAATGGTGCGTGTACCATATGGCGAACACTTGTTTGGTCGACGTTCGTGACGTTCGTGACAAAGACACGATTTGAAATCGTGGATAGGCGAATCGAAACGAATAAAAAAAGAGAGGGCGAGAAAGAGAGAAACGAACAGACAGACATAAAAGAGAAAGAGAGAGAGAGGGAAGCAGAAAATAGAGGCGTGAGTAGGGAGAGAACGGTTCAGATCGTTACACCGACAAGAGTCACATCCGTTTCCGTGTGTACTTACGCGTGTACGTGCACTGCGAGGTATTCTGGACGCGTCTCCCAGCGACACGCCATCCTTCAACGTCGAAACCACCCTCTTTAGCTTCCGACTAACCCTCCGTTTGCGACAACCGGAGCAGGTACCACGGTACAACCGGTTTGCCTTCGGCTGGCGTTGGCTGCAACGACTAGATACACGTGTTACAGGATAGCGGCGAAACTCGTTCAGGGTTGTATATCGTCTCGAAGCGCTTTGTTCCGTCCCTCTCCTTTTCTTTTTTTATCGCAGGACCACGTTCCCGTTTTTTCTTTTTTTTTCTTTTTTTTTTTTTTTTTCTTCCGTTTGTTCGCAGGCGAGTGTCTGTTGTATGGTTGAAAAATAGTTCTTGGTCGGTGGTGTCGAAAGACAGCGCCGATGGTATCGCGGCAGAGGGATCGAGGACTCGATCTTTCGTAGCATTCCGGTTTTCTAGCGCGAGATTTAAAGGGAAATCAGCCGTGTTGAAGCGAGTGTGTTGTTTTGCAGGCATTTACGAAGATTTGCATTTTGTTAAACGCGAGCGAAGATGCGTGTATACTCGTTGAGAATATTGAGTTTGTTAAATATATAAAAAAAAAAAAATTACACATTTGTAGCTAACTATGATAAGATTCTAACAGTCAAAATGTATTGAAAACAAGTGTTTTTTTTTCTGACTCGCTTTTACAATAGTTTCTCGGGGTAGAAACATCGAATGGAGATTAGTATTTATCCTACTTCTCGGTATATCTCCGACGATGTAATGGATATAAAAGAGATGGTTATAATAAAAATTGAATGATCCTTTATAAAACGATATGCTTTATAAAACGATACTATCAAATTTACAAAATTTTTCGTTTGAATAAAAAGTCAACTGTTATCGCGAAAAATTTCGAATTCTTAACTTTTCTTCGTATTTTTTTCTTTGAGAAAATATTGCCGTCGCCATTAAGGTAAGTTTCGTTTATCAGTTGTCGTTTACCATTCCTCGATTCATTTCTGAGAAAAATATTCGCTATTCGTATACGTAAATTTGTGAACTTTAGTGTATTTCATATTTTAAATAAATACACAAGAGGCAAAGCACGCAGCTCGTAGAACATGAAAATAAAAATATCTTTTTATTTCCATGTTTGTTAATATAACAATAATGACTTTTATGTAGTAAAATTATTCGAACGCCGTGTAAAATAAAAATTTTTATTAAAAATTCTCGTTACGTACTATGATAGGATAATAGAATTTTTTGTTGTGCAACATACTTTTAGTGTACGTGTGTGTGTGTGTTTAATGTGTTTGGTTAGTATATACGTATTTATATGAAACGTACAGTATGTACTAGATACATGTATGTATATACATACACCCACGCCCACGTTGTATAAG